CCAGCGCCGCTCTCTGAGCTCCGACGTCAAGTTCTTCTTCACCAATGCCGGCGTACCTCAACTCTGTCGTGGCGTCCTTGCCGGGGTTACCAGAGGGAGGCGTGTCCTTGCTTTGAACGTTACTCGCCCCCTTTCTCTCGGCAGTCTTACCCTTATCCACCGGGGTAGGCGTCTCTAGCAACGCATCGAACTCTGCGTCACTCATCGTTCTGTTCTCAGAGGCCAGCCGCTTGCTGTTAGGCTTCTTCGGCGTACGAGGCTCTTCGAGCACGACCGGAGAGCCTACCATTTCGTCGCCATCCTCCTGGTCGACGAGAGACGTGTCATGTAAACTAGTCAGCGACGCGAAGCTATTATTATTGCTTATCACGCTACGCTTGGACAGTACGGGAGACACACTCCGACGTCTACGAGGTACTCTAGACCACGACCCAGTGTCATCGCTCGACGCCCCACCGAATCCACCGATGACAAACGGAGACGGGCTGCGTGGCTCGTCCTTGAGCGCCAGCCCTGCCGTGCTCACCAACCGCGATCCTTCGCGATGCGCGGGAGCATCAAGGTAAGCGGGCAGCAAACCTTGAGGTATAACGGCCCCGAGGCTCGATCCTGTATGATCGCCGGCCATCGGGGCATCTCCGTGGTGCGTAGCTCCAGCCTCGCCCGCCAACGGAGATGAGTCAACGGGGTCAGAGGCAACCGCCTCGCCCGCGTTGATGTTGATATCCGACTCGGGTCAGGGAACTCTGTCTAGTCCGCCGACCCTACGGTCATTACGAGTCCAGCGACCTGTGAGCTCATCCCTAGACACAGGCATACTCAGCGTGTAGGGATAAAGAAATAGAACACGTAGCTAGGAGTGCTCGCAGTCACTGTGTCCTCAGCAAAGGTGTACCCGGGTGATCAAGCCGGGTAGTGTCCTATCGAAGAGGGGTTAGCGACGATGAGCGATAACAGATTACTCACGAAACACTCTCAAAAATATGTGACGCGGGCAAAGCCGAATACGGCTAAGGTGCGTTCACACGATAAGGTTCTCGAGCGGCACAACAAGAGAGAGTTCACGTCTCGATTGAGCAACTCGAGGTAAGATACGAAACCAAAAGGTAAAGGTCCTCGCGACGAGGCTGCTTGTCTTTTATACCTCGTCGCGAGCCCTTGAGCATATGGAAGTGGAGCAAAAGGATCAAACAGTCAAAAGGCGCATCAGCGCCGGATGCTAGAAAAGGAAAGAAGTTCTCGGTCTCAGCCTTCGGCAGAACCGGCACGTAACACAAGCGATCCTCCCCCATGGCCTTCCGTTGGCGACAACATGCCGATCATCTCAGGGATGCCCAAAGTGTACACCTCTCTGCCTGAAGTACCGGCGTCAAGGCCGCCCCCAGATGTCTTTGAAGATGAGGATTCATCCGATGATGCTGGCGACAATGACCGCAGCCCATACGAGAGGGAGGCTCACCGTGGTCGCGCTCGAGTACGCAAAGAGAAGGCCGCTAATCGCGAGAAGATTGTGAATGCGCCGACCGACCTCATCTATTGGCAAAATGTTCTCGGACATCTCAACCCGAGATCAACCACTCCCCAGGTCTCCTTGCGTCTGATGAAAGACACCTTTGCTCAGCGGATGAACCCACCGCCGACGCTCCTGCCACAGTTTGATAAACTGCGCTATGATCTTAATTGTATCATGGAACGTGCGATTCCACCGACGACACACGACCGAACGGACAGCCAACACTTCTCTCGTCCATTTGAGGAATCGGATGTCGCCTGGCTGAAGAGCCGGCTGCATGTCAGGGACGCACGCAGTGCAACAGGTGCCTATGCCTTCTCGTATACAGCTAATTGCGAATCCGGCACTCATGCATGCGATAGGTGCCGATGACTTCTCCTATAGAGACATCCTGCGTATCCCGAATGACAAACTTGTGTTGCTCTACAATCAATGTATAGAGTTCAACGCCGCACCGAATGAGTGGCTCACTACGCTCCTGGTTGGAGTTCTGAAACATGGCAAACCCGCGACAGACCCCGAGAGCTATCGCATCATTGGCCTTGAATGCACGTTGTTGAAGGGCTTGACACTCCTTGTGGAACGACGCCTCCGGCTGTGGGCGGAGGAAGAGGGTGTTGTACCTCCATCCCAGAACGGCTTCCGACCTGGCTACAACACCCACAATAATGCTTTCATCTTCCGCGAAGCCGTCGAGAGGTGCCGAGCAGATGGGAAGACCCTATATGTTGCAATCGTTGACCTGACAAACGCGTTCCCCAGTACTCATCAACCGACACTGTGGACCAAACTATACACCATGGGTGCATCAGGTCCCATTGTAGACTGGCTCCGGATGCTATATGCGAGTATGGTATACTCCGTCCGCTTGCGCAAGGGCTATTCAGATCTCTTCCGCTCCACGATAGGCATTCTCGCTGGCGACTCCGCATCCCCCATGCTATGGAATCTATACATGGCTGATCTTACTGTGGGGGCGGATGACGACAATGTCATACTAGGCGGCACACACATCACCCATCTTGCGCATGCCGACGATGTGAAATTACTCTCCACGTCGCCAAACGGACTGCAGGCCAAGATCGACGCTTTCGACGGATGGTGCAACTCGAACTTCCTGATCTCCAACTCTACGAAGACCTCCCTCGCGATCTTTGGCGAAATCCCTCGGACGGTGCCCCACATTACGCAAAATGGGGTGCGGCTCGCTTGGACCGAGGACCACAAATACGTGGGCACAACATTCACTTCCACCGACCGGTCGATCATGGCGATGCATTACATCCGCAAAGCTGAGGCCGCTCAATCTATCGCAAACATGACATTCGCCATACGATCCAAGATCGGGGACCTGGCGCCTCTGGATGCGATACGCATATACATGGCGCGCGTCGACCCTCATCTCACTCAGTCCTGCGAAGTTGCTATAGACGTCAGCACGCCCCTGCTGGAGCTCCTTGAGAGTGTTCAACACCGCTTCTTGAGGCGCGCATTAGGTCTCTCCTCCCGCTGCATGATAGCGGCTCTGTTCGTAGAGACGGGAGTAATGCCTCTACGACATCGCCGCCTCATTCTTGCCCTCAGATATCTGCGATACCTCCTCGGCCTCCCTCCCTCCCGCTTCGCGGCATTAGCTTTACGTGACGTGTTTGCCCTCGCGATGGCAGGGCATCCCGGATGGGTCACGGACATAAGGATAGCCCTCGGTTCCTTGCCTGGGAAGCCCATTCCGGTGCTCATCACAGACCTTCTTGACGGCGATAGCATCACAACTCTGATCCACGACGTAGAGGCGTCTCTCGACCACTGGCTATCGACCATTGTTGCAGACTCACCGAAGCTCGAGCTGCTTTGCGGACGATACGAGATCGGGAAAAAAGGTGTGGTGTCCTATGCTGTCAGACACAAGAAACGACAACACCATCGTGTTCGAGTGCAGAAACATCGCATAGCGATCACGAAGCTCCTCGTGTTGGACCATCGTCTTAGCGTCGAGACTCTACGGTGGACACAGCGATACCAGCCTCCAGTCGCCCGTGCAATGCGGCTTTGCCGACTATGTCTCCAGGACGTGGAGGAACCACTCCACATTCTCTTTGACTGCGCAGGAAGCGACGAACTGACGGCCATGCGGACAGAATGTCTCGCGCAGTGTACCGCAAAGTGTCTCGCTCTGCTGCCGCTCCGCTCCACGCCCATTGGGTTCTTTCATCGTGCTATTGCCGAGCCACTCACTGTTCCGACTATGGCTCGTTTCGTCAGAAATGCCCTTCGTCTGGTGTACTCGCACGAACAGTATCGTCCACCTCGCGAGTTGTTACAAGATATCCCAGAGCTACTTGAGCCGACTATCTACGATGCGGGCGATCACAATGAGGATGACGACGCACCTCAGTCACCCCCTAAACCACCCCATATTAGGGGTATCATCGTGCCCAAAAGTTCCACCTAATAGGTGCTCACCCAGTACATTTTTCCACATCCATGTGAAACCACTCCCACTTCCACGTGGAAATGGTGCCTTCGCCCATATATAACCAGGTGGGTATGATAGATAATGCAAGATAATGTATAACATATATACACCCATGCATAAAGCGTATATAAGTGTGCAGTGTCTGCCAATCACTGTTCATGATGTTTTAGAATAATGTATGTGATTGCAGTGGATGATTCCACTGTTCCATTATGCTCTTTGTACCTTCCACACGTTGGTGGAAGACATCCACCGGTGCCAGGGGTCTTTCATTTATTTTTAGAACACTATCCTTTGGCAATCTGTCGTGTGTTTATCCAGGCCGGTCCAACGGCC